CTAAAGGCTTATTTATTTTATTGATCTTTTTAAAGAGCCAGATTTTGGCTTCATTGATTTTCTATTACTTTCCTTTCAATTTCATCGAGATTCTCTTAATTTTTTAATTTCTTTTCTTCTGCTTGCTTGATGCTTAAATTTCTATTCTTTCTTTAGTTTCCTAAAGTGGAATCTTAGGTTATTGATGATTAGAGCTCTTCTTTTCTAATATATGCATTTAATGCCATAAATTAATTCCCTAATGTTTTTGTTGCATCCTGCACATTTTCATAAGTTGTATTTATTTTCACTTTCATTTAATCCAAAATAATTTTAGATTTCTATTGAGACTTTTTCTTTGACCCATCTGTTATTTAAATGTGTGTTGTTTAATCTCCAGATATTTGGTGATTTTTCTGGTATTGATTTCTAGCTTCATTCCATCATGGTCTCAGAACACAGTTTGTATGATTTCTGTTTTTTTAAATTGTTGGAGTATGTGTATTATGGCCCAGAAAGAGGTCTGTCTTGAGAAGTGTTTCCCTGAAAGCTTGAGAAGTGTATGCATTCTGTTGTTAGAGTATTCTATAAATGTTGACTAAATCAAGTTGATAGTTCTGATTAGGTCAGCTGTATCTTACTTATTTGCTTTCTGTTCCATCTGTCAAATTATCTCAAGAGAGGTTTTGGTGTATTGTAAATGTTGTGTTTAAATGGAAGTGTATAATTACTCCTTTAAAAATGTATCACAGTGATTTGATACCTGTCAATGTTGATTTATAATCAGACATTTTTATTTCAGACATGTTTATTTTCTTTCTCCTTGAAAGGGGATTTTTTTTTTTAAACTTGTTTTTACATTGCACTTTCTCCCATGGATTTCTTCCAAAGTAATACTTTTATGCTTAAAATAATTTATCATACTTAGAACAAAAGTATGTACATACTTTTTATGAGAAAAATACTCAGCAAACTAGAATTAGAAGGAAACTTTCCTAACATGATAAGGAGACTTTCCTAACATGATAAAGGCCATTTATAAAAATACGCAGCCAACATGATACTTAGTTATACGTTATAAATTGTGAAAGATTGAAAACTTTTCCTGTAAGATCAGGAACAAGACAGAGATACCAGCTTTTGCTACTACTAATCAACACTGCATTAGAAGTCCTAGCCAGTGCAGTTGGGCAAGAGAAAGAAATAAAAAGCATCCACAATGATAAGAAGTAAACCTATTAATTTGTTGATAACATGATTCCACAAATAGAGCACTCTAAAGATTCCTAATGCACCAGAAAATTAGTTGTAAGTGAATTCAACAGAATTGTAGGTTTCAAGGTATTTTTAAAAATCAGTTGTGTTTTTTACACTCACAATGAAAAATCTATAAAAGGAAATTTTGAAATTTCATTTACAGTAGTATCCAAAAGGATAAAATACTGAGGAATAAATTTAACCAAGGAAGCAAAACATATATACACTGAAAATTGCAAAAAAGTTGCAAGAAGAAATCCCAGGTTCATGGATTGCAAGACAATGTTGTTAAAGTGGCAGTACTTCCAGAAGTGATCTGCAGGTTCAGTGCAGTGCCTATCAAAATTCCAAATGTCTTCATTGCAGAAATGGAGAGGTTGAGCTTCAAATTCATATGGAATACAACAGATTCCAAATAGCCAAAGCCATACTGAAAAAGAAAAACAAATTTGAAGGACCCATAGTTCATAACTCCAGAAATTACTATAAAGTTACTGTAATTAAAATAGTGTGCAATTAGCATAAGGTTAGATATATAGATCAATCAGTGGAATAGGATTGACTCCAGAAGTAAGCCCATACACCTGTGGCCAGTTGATTTTCTATAAGAGTGCCAGGATCATTCAGTGAAAGATAGTCTCTTCAATAAACGGTCTGTGACAAGTGGGTATCCACATGTAAAGAAATGAAGCTGGGCTCTTACCTCACTCCATACACAGAGATTAACTCAAAATGGATCAAAGACCTAAATTAAAGTCTTTGACCTAAAGCTATAAAACTCTCAGAAAAAAACTTAAGGGTCAGTCTTCATGACCACATATCTGGCAATGGATTCTTTTGCTATAACACCAGAAGCACAAGCATCAGAAGAAAGACAAATTGGAATTTCTCAGAATTAGTGCCTTTGTGCACCAAAGGACGTTATCAAGAAAGTGAAAAGATAACCTATGGAATGGGAGAAAATATTTGCAATTTATATGTCCAGTGAGGATCTACTATCAGAATATATAAAGAATTCATACACTCAACAATAAAAAGGCAACTGAATTTAAAAATGGATTGAAGACATTAACAGACATTTCTCCAAGGGAGATATATTGATAGAAATGGCCAGCAGGTATGTGAAAAGATATTCAGCTTCGTTGGTTATTAAGGAAATGCAAATCAAATTCACAATGAGATACTCTTTCAGTAGTTTCAACAGATTTGCTGTAATTAAACAGTTGAAAGATAACAAGTGTTGACAAGGACATGGAGAAGTAGGAACCTTTGTACATTGCTTGTGGGAATGTAAAATGGTGAAGCCCCTTTGAAAAAGAGTTTTGGAGTTCCTCAAAAATATAAAATAGAATTAACGTTTTTTGTTCAGTTGCCCAGTCATGTCCGACTCTTTTGCGGCCCCATGGACTGCAGCACGCTAGGCCTCCCTGTCCCTCACCGTCTCCAGAAGTTTGCCCTAGTTCATGTCCACTGCATGGGTGATGCCATCCAACCATCTCATCCTCTGATGCCCTCTTCTCCTCCTGTCCTCAATCTTTCCCAGCATCAGGGACTTTTCCAGTGAGCTGGCTGTTTGCCTCAGGCGACCAAAATTATCATATGACCCAACAATTCCATTCCTATGTATATACCCAAAAGAATTGAAAATAGGTACTCAAACAAATACTTGTGTTTGTTCATAGCAGCACATTCACAGTAACCAGAAAATGAAACCAACCCAAATGTTCATCAGTAGATGAATGGCTAAATAAGTTGTGTTGTATGTATATACCATGCCATATTATTCAGCCATAAAAAGGACTGAAGTATTGATACATGCTACAACATGGAAGAACTTCCAAACCACTATACTAAATGGAAGAAGCCAGACATGAAAGACCACATATTCTATGATTTATTTTATATTAAATATCCCAAATAAGCATATCAAAAGATACAGAATAGCAAATTAGTAGTCACCAGAGAGTGGGGAGGAGGGTGGTCATAGGGGAAGATTATTTATAGGGTATAGTGTGTTCTTCTGACATACTGAAAAAGTTCTGAGACTAGAGAGTTGGTTTTCAAACATAGTGAAAGCACTAAATGCCACTGAATTATACACTTTAAAATGGCTAAGTATGCGTTATGTGAATTTCACTTAAAATATATATATAAACCTAAGATTAACTTTTTAAATTGTATAACTATGCAGTTTTAAGTTCTTTAATATTTCATCTGGGAGTTAGAGTTGTTGTATAATAAATATTTTATAGACTTTGTTAAAGTTTTAAAGTCATTATAAATAAAATTTATTGGAAATTCATCCTAAGGGTATGAATTTTTTAGTGCCATTTAGTTCATGTATCCATGGATGAGTGCTAAAGAGTTCAGCATCAATTCCATTCCTGTTTTATTTTTTTATTATTTTTGACCTTAAATCCCACAACCATTGTGTATTATAAAGGTTAATCCTGATCCTCATGAATGGTAGAATTTCTGGTAGTAATCATGGGCACCAGGGTCTCCAGACACTTGAATTTGCAGCTACTGGCAGTGTTCAGTGTCCTCATCTTGGTTGAGGATGTCTTTGATCTTTTTTTTTTTTGGACACCTACCTACATATTTCTGATAGTAAGATCACCAGGGCTTTGAAGGTGGACTGGTAGATTGCAAAACTCTGGGCTATGTGACCACCACCCTTCACGTGGACACTGAGGTCCATGCCAACTAATTGCTCCTTCCCGAGAAGTAGCGCCGTTGCTGGGAGCTTGTGTTGTAGCTTTGCGCAGGTGGATCAACTCTGGGGTAACCCATTCACTACAGAGACCGTTGCCCTCTCTGCAGTGTGCCATGACTGTGACCATCTTCTCGTGTCTGAAGATCTGTGCCAACTGCCAAGGGCCCTTGGATGGCATGACAGTGGTGTAGACAAGAGATCCTCATCGTGAGGTGCCTCAACTAGAAGAAAGTCCTATTTTATGTTTTATTATACTCAAATGTTGGGAAACATCATTAATATTAACAAGTAGATGGTAGTGGAAAGGATTTTGTATATCAGCATCACTTAGTTCTTTGAACTTCTGGATCATATGCCAAAAAGCACATATTGATTTAATGTAAAATTTAGTTTTAATGATTTATCAACTGATAAATGATTTTCCTTCATTTTTGAAACTGAAGGACTAGGGGAAAATGCATAAGAATGTGGCAATCATTAGAGTCATTCACTACTTTCTCAACACCTACACCAGTATTTCTAGTTGGCTTTATGTTGAGTGCTTCAGAGATTTTTGCCTCTTGGGGAAATTTATCATAGTAAAAGACATGTAGGCTAGAGAAATGTTTCTTTTGTAAAATGAAATGGTAATTGTTAAAGGGGAGAAGGAAAAGGTGGACTTTTATGACACAGGTACAGCAGTTTTTTAAATAATTATGTATAGAAATAAAAAAATCTGTTGCCCATAAAACCTTTCTGTCCCCATGCACCTCTTGAAAGATTGTATATACCTGCAGGGTATTGAACTCTCTCAGAGATCTTGTATAAAGTGCTTCATATTGCCTTCAGAATAGGAATCTTTGAATAGTTTGAGACTTCTATGTACTCTGAATAAAAAGACTAAAAAAAAAAAAAAAATTTGGCCCTAAGGCAGTTTCTTTCAAAATAAGCTTATTTTGTTTCTAGATTGTGTCAGGATTAAATGTAAAATTAATAGAAAATTGTTCAAAATTTGGTGAATTGGAGGTATTGGCTTCTCTTATAATTCCTTTTCTAAAATTTTTCCCAGGTCAATGAATGGTCATTGAAGATAAGAAAGGAAATGAGAGTTGTTGACAGGCAAATAAGAGGTAAATTACTATTTTATGTCTCTTATCCTGTTGCTGTATTTTGCATTAGTTCATAAAAATAAGCTGAATACAGAAAACATCATTTATATTATTTATAGCTCTAATTATTTGCTTTCTAATTATTATAAGAAAAATAAGATATAGTCAGCTCAAAGAAAGTTTACATTTTAAAAGAAGTAAATCTTTCCTCAAGCCTGAAATTCAGCTGTTCAAGGGGAAGGGGCCATGTTCATTCATCTCTGATTTCCTAGAGTCTAGGTTCCTGTCGGAAACAAAGCAGATGTTCACATTCTATGATAGAATAATGGTCTCCCAAAGATGTCCATGTCCTAAATACCCAGAACCTGTGAATATGTTACCTTACATGACAAAAGGGAACTTGGACATTTGATTAGAGATCTTGAGATAGGGAGATTATCCAGGGTTACCTAGGTGGGCCCATTGTAATCACGAGTCCTTATAAAAGCGAGGAGGTATGTTGAGAAAAAGAGGTGTGACCACAGAACCATATGGTGGAGTGGTTTGCTTTGAAGATGAAGGAAGAAGACATAAGCTAAGGAATGCATTTGACCTCTAGAAACTAGAAAAGGCAAGGAAATGGATTCTTTCTAGAAGCTTCCAGAAGAAATGAAGGTCTTCCAACACCTTGATTTTATTATTTATTTATTTTTGGTTGCTCTGGGTCTTTGTTGCTGTGCGTGGGCTTTCTCTAGTTGTGGTGAGCAGGCTTCTCTGCAGTGGTTCTCTTGGGCAGCACAGGCTCTGGGCGCATGGGCTTCAGTAATTGTAGCATGCGGGCACAGTAGTTGTGGAGTGTGGGCTCTAGATCATGCAGGCTTCATTAGTTGTGGCACATTGACTCAGTAGTTGTGGCTCATGGGCCCTAGGGCAGGAGCTCAGTAGTTGTTGTGAACAGGCTTTAGTTGCTCTGTGGCATGTGAAATCTTCCTGGACCAGGGATCAAACTCATGTCCCCTGCACTGGCAGGTGTATTCTTATTCACTGGGCCATCAGGGAAGTCCAACAACACTTTGATTTTAGACTTCTGATCTCCAGAATTAAAGAATACATTTTTGTTGTTTTAAGTGATTTAAAAAAAAAACCTAAATAAACTTCTTCCTCATAAAGAAATGGTTTTATGGAAGTCAGAGTAAATAAATTGTACACTCATGTTTATAACAGCATAATTCTCAATAGCAAAAGGTATAAATAACCCAAATTTCTACTGATAGATGAATACATAAACAAAATGAAATATATACATACAATGGGATATTTATTCAGTCTTTAAAAAGAAGGAAATTCTGATACATGCTGTCACATAAATGAGTCATGGAAACATTATGAAGTAAAATAAGCCAGACACAACAGGACAAATAGTTACACTGAGTCTGATTATAGAGACAGAAAGCAGAATGGTGATTACCAGGGAATGTGAAGAAGGAAAAATGGAGAGTCACTGTTAACAGGAACAGAGTTTCAACATGAGATGAAGGGAAAGTTCAGAAGACAGAGGTGATGGCTGTACAACAGTGTAAGTGTACTTAATATCAATGAACTGTATATTTTTAAATGGTTTGCATTCATCAGTTTATGTACGTATGATATTAGTTATATGTGGAATGTAAACTATGATACAAGTGAACATATCTACAAAACAGAAACAGACTTACAGAGATAGAGAACAGACTTATGGTTGCTGGGTGGTGAGGAGGGTTTAGGAGAGGAAAGGATTGGTTAAACGGTAATTAATTCTGTACTTAATTTTAGAGGAGGGCCAGAAGGAAGTGAGTTTATGTATTTAAGTGCTTGAAGAAGATACCTGTATATTAAGAATCCTATATCCAGCAAAACAAAGGAGTGACATTCCTACTTAAATGAAAGCTGATTGCGTTTGTTACCACTAGACATGCCTGACAAGAAATGCTAAAGCATGTCCTTCAGGTTGATAGATAGTAACAACCTGTTACTATAGATAGTTACAATGTAACTTGAAGCTATAATAAAAAAATACATATCTCCGTTAAAGACAAATACATGGGCAATTATAAAAGCTAATATTTTTGTAACTTTGGTTTGTAACTTCGTTTTTTGTTTTCACATGATTTAGGAGACTTGTGCATTTAAAAATATATTAGACTTTATTTTTTAACTATAGTGCAGAAAGATGTACTTTTGTGACATTAGTAACTGAATGGGGGTGCAGACAAAACTGTGAAGGAGTGAAGTTTTTGTATAACATTAAAGTTAAGCTCATATAAATTCAGATTAGCGTTATAGCATTAGTATATTAAGTGCGTTCACTGTGATAATCACAAAGAAAGTAGCTATAAATTATACCCAAAAGCAAATGAAAAGGGACTTGAAAGTTTGACCATAAGACACATAAGCACAGAAGAAGATAATGTAGGAAATGAAGGGTAAAAATCTATAAGACCTACAGACAAAAAAGGCAAAATGGAAGAATTAAGCCCCTGCTCATCAGTAATTGCTTTTTTAAGATTAATTTTTGTTGGTGTGTAGTTGCTTTACAGTGTTGGGTTAGTTTCTGCTGCACAGCAAAGTTAATGTGTACATATGTCTCTTCTTTTTAAAGATTTCCTTCCCATAGTAATTACTTTAAATGTAAATGAATTAAATTCTGCAGTCAAAAATAGACCTTGACAGAATGGGGGAAAATGACCCTAGTGTATACTGTATATAAGAGACTCACTTTAGATCCAAAGATACAAATAGGTTTTGAAAGTTAAAAAAAGGAAGGAAAAAGATATGCCATGGGAATAGTAACTTAAAGGATAGAGGTTGCTGTACTAATGTAAGATAAACTTTAAATCAAAAAAGATTACAAGAGTCAAAGAAGGACATTATATTTTAATACATTAAGATGTAACAGTTACATACATCTATGCACCTAATGACACATGGTTAAAATATATGAAGGAAAGTAAATTCTACAACAGTAGTTGAAGACTTTAATATAACTCATGCCCAAAAGTGGATATAACAGCCAGACAAATTAGTAAGGATCAAAGATGACTTGAACAACACATCAACTAGATCCAACAGACGTACATAGAATACTCAGTGCAACAACAATAGAATACACATTCTTAAGTGTACAAGTTACATTCTCCAGGACAGATTTTCAAATTGTGGATGAAGAAGTTAAATTATCTGTTTGCAGGTAATGTGATCTTACATGTATAAAACCCTAAAGATTTCACAACCCAACTATTAGAATTCGCAAATTAATTTAGTAAAGTAGCAAGATACAAAACACAGAAAAATCAGTTGTATTATTCTATATGCTAACAGCTGGAAAAGGAAGTTAAGAAAACAGTGCCATTTATAATAGTACCAAAAATAGAATATTTAGGAATTACCTTAACTCAGATGGCACCCCACTCCAGTACTTTTGCCTGGAAAATCCCGTGGATGGAGGAACCTAGTAGGCTGCGGTCCATGAAGTTGCTAAGAGTTGGACACGACTGAGTGACTTCACTTTGCTTTTCACTTTCACGCATTGGAGAAGGAAATGGCAACCCACTCCAGTGTTCTTGCCTGGAGAATCCCAGGGATGGGGGAGCCTGGTGGGCTGACACCTATGGGGTCACATAGAGTCAGACACAACTGAAGCGATTTAGCAGCAGCAGCAGCAGGTGAAAGGCTTATGATGAAAGCTATAAGATGTTGCTGAAAGAAATTAAAGGCATAAATACATGGAAGAACATCCTATATTCATGGATTAGAATCATTAATATTGTTAAGATGTCATAGCACCCAGTGTGATCTGTAGAGTCATTGCAATCCTTATCAAAATCCCAGTAATGTTTTTTTGAAGAAATGGAAAAAGATCTATCCTAAACTTCATATGGGATCTCAAGAGATTCCAGAGAGCAAAAAAGATATTGAAAAAGAACAAAATTGGAAATTCACACTTCTTTATTTCAAACCCTATTGGATATATACAGAACATTCCATCCAAAAGCAGCAGAATACCTATTCTTTTCAGGTACACATGGACATCCTCCAGGATAAATCACACGGTAGGCCACAAAACAAGATCAAAAGAGTATCAGCCATCTTTTCTGACTACAGTGCTATGAGACTGCAATACTATGAGAAATCAACTACAAGGGGGAGAAAACTGCAAACACAAACTCATAGAGACTAAACAGTATGCTACTCAAAAACCAGTGGGTTGCTGAAGACTTAAAAAGAAGAAACCAAAAAATACTTGGAGTCAGGGGATTCCCTGGCCGTCCAGTGGTTAGGACTCTCTGTTCTCTTCCTGCCTAGGGCCCAGGTTTGATCCCTGGTTGAGGAAGTAAGATCCCACGAGCCACGCAGTGCAGCAAAAAAGAAAAAATATTTATGTGGAGTCAAGTGAAAATGGAAACACAGCAATCCAAAATCTGTGGCACACAGCAAAAGCAGTTATGAGGGAAGTTTATAGCAATATAAGCCTACCACAGGAAACAAGAAAAAATTTCAAACAACCTAACCTTACACCTAAAGGAACCAGGATAAACAACATGCAAACCCAAAGTTAGTAGGAGGAATGAATAAAGAAGATCAGAGCAAAAATAGATGCAATAGAAAATGTTAAAGAACAGTAGAAAGGATCAGTGAAAGTAAAAGGTGGTTCTTTGAGAAGATAAACAAAATTTAAAAATTTATAGCTAGACTCATCAAGAAAAAGAGAGGGCCTAGGAGATAAAATCAGAAAGGAAAAAGTAGAACTTAAAATTGACACTAGAGAAATACAGAGAATTATAGGAGATTACTTATGGACAGATTACTAGAAGAAATGGGTGAATTCTTAGAAATGGAGTCTTCCAAGATTGACTCAAGAAGAAATAGAAAATATGAATAGACCTATTAACCAGTAATGAAATTACATCAGCAAGAAAACAACTCTCAAGAAACAAAAGTTGAGGACCAAGTGGTTTCATGGGTGAATTCTACCAAATATTTAAAGAAGAGTTTAGACCTGTCCTATTCAAACTACTCCAAAAATTTGAATAGGAAAGAAAACTTCCAAACTCATTCTTTGAGGCCAGCATCACCCTGATGTCAAAACCAGACAAAGATATCACACACAAAATAGAAAAATACAGGCCAGTATCACTGATGAACATAGATGCAAAAATCCCCAACAAAATATTACCAGCCAAATTCAGCAGTAAATTGAAAAGGATTATACTCCATGATCAAGTGACATTTTATCCCAAGGATGGTTCAGTTTATGCAAATATATATTGTGATATACCACGTTAATAAACTGAAGAATAAAAATCATACAGTCATCTTAATAAATAGAGAAAAAACTTTTGACATAATTCAACATCCATTTATGATATAAAACTCAACAAAGGGACTAGAGAAGGTACATCACTCAACATAATAAAGGCTATCTATGCCAAACCTACAGCCAATGTCATATTCAAGAGTGAAAAGCTGAAAGAAAGCATTTCCTCTGAGATCAGGAATAAGACAGGGTGGCCCACTTTTGCGCTCTTTATGTAACATAGCCTTGGAAGTCCTAGCCACACAATCAGACAAGAAAAAGATATAAAATGATCCAAACTGGCAAGGAAGAAGAAGAACTGTTACTCTTTGAAGATGACATGATACTATGTATAGAAAACCCTAAAGATACTACCAAATAACTACTAGAAATAATAAATGGATTCAGTAAAGTTGTAGGATACAAAATTAACATAGAGATCAGAAAGAGAAGGAAACAATTCCATTTACAATTGCATCAAAAAGAATAAAGTGCCTAGGAGTAAATCAAACAAAGGAGGTAAAAAACTTGTATTCAGAAAACTGTAAGATGTTGATGAAATAAACTGAAAATGACACAAACAATTATACCATGTGAATGAGTTTGAAGAATTGTTAAGATAACCGTACTACTCAAAGTCATCTATAGATTCATTTCAGTACCTATTAGAATTCCAGTGGCATTTTTCACTGAACAAATAATCTCAAATTTATATGGAAACATAAAAGACCTCAAATAGGCAATAAAACTGTTTTTAAAAATGGGCAGAGAACCTGAATAGGCATTTTTCCAAAGAAGACATACAGATGGCCAACAAACAAATGAAAAGATGCTCAACATCACTAATCATCAGGAAAATGCAAATCAAAACCAGAGTGAGACACTATCTCACACCTGTGAAAAATGGCTATTATTAAAAAGACAACAAATAGATTGTTGGATTAGGATGGGGAGAAGGGGGAACCCCTGTGCAATATTGATGGAAATGTAAATTGGTGCAACAACTATGGAAAACAGCATGGAGGTTCTTCAAAAAGCTAGAACTACTATATAATCCAGCAGTTATGTGTCTGGGTATTTTCCCAAAGGAAACAAAGACATTAATTTGGAATGATATATTCATCCCTATGTTTACTGCAACATTACTCACAGTAGCCAAGATATGGAAGCAACCTCAGTACCCATGATAGATGAATAGCTAAAGATGTTGTATGTGTATACATATATGTGCTAGAATATTACTCAGCCATAAAAAGGAATGAAATCTTGTTTGTGACAGCATGATGGACCTCAAGAGAATTATGCTAAATGAAATAAGACAGAGAAGAAAATACCATATGATTTCACATATATGTGGAATCTAAAAAACAAAACAAATGAACAAACATAGCAAAACAGAAACAGTTACTGAAGCAGAGACAAATGGGTGGTCAGAGGGGAGGGATGCAGGGGAATGAATGAAATAGATAAGGGGGATCAAGAGGTACAGACTTCCAGTTACAAAATAAGTGAATCACAGGGATGAAACGTACAAAGTGGGAAATATAATCAGTAATAATAATATATCTTTATAGGATGATGAATGGTAACTAGACTTATTGTGGTGATCATTTTGAAATGTACACTGTGCACCAGGACCTATCATAGTGCTGTAGGTCACTTATAGTTCAAAAAACCACAAACAAGCAAATTCATAGAAAAAGAGATAAGATTTGTGGTCACCAGAGGTCGAGTTTGCAGGGAGTGAGAATTGGATGAAGGTAGTCAAAAGGTACTGACTTCCAATATAAGATAAGCACTAGGGATGTCATGTATGACAGGATAAATATAATTAATACTGCTGTATATTATATATGAAAGCTGTTAAGAGAATAAATCCTGAGTTCTCATCACAAGGAAGAAATGTTTTTCTGTGTTTTGTATTTGTATGAGATGATGGATGTTAACTAAATTTACCATGATCATCATTTCATGATGTATGTCAGTAAGTCATCACGCTGTGTTGTAATACTTTTAGCATGTTCAGGCTTTCCTTAAGTTGCAGGTTCCTTAATACCAGTACCAACAGATGTTAGAATGGGCTTGCAAAAGCAGTTTTGAAATTTTGTCTGGTGTAATAGGATTTATTTTTTTTCTATTTACACTTATAATACTTTAATGTGATATTAGAAATAATACTAGAAATGATCTATTATTTTTATTTGGTTTATATCCTCCTGTTTCCTACTTAATAGACACATTTAGATCACAATGAGAACAGATTTCAGTGCTAGTAAATCTCCTTTTTGTTCTTCAGTCACTAAGTCATGTCCAACTCCTTGCGACCCCATGGAATGCTGGCTTCCCTGTCCTTCAGTATCTCCCCGAGTTTGCTCAAACTCATGTCCATTGAGTCAGTGATGCCATCTCCTGGTTTACCCTTAATCTTTTGGTGTTTTGTGTTCTGTCCTAAATTTAGATATCCAAAGAGAAGAAGAAAAAGTGAAACGATCTGTGAAAGATGCTGCCAAGAAGGGTCAGAAGGATGTCTGTGTGGTTCTGGCCAAGGAGATGATCAGGTCAAGGAAGGCTGTGAGCAAGCTCTACGCATCCAAAGCACACATGAACTCAGTGCTCATGGGGATGAAGAACCAGCTGGGTAAGACAGCGGTTCTTACAACCACCTCATTAACTGAGGCTCTTGCCATTATCATAACACTAGTTTCCTTGAATAGGAAGAACCGTCTGAGCTCTGGCATTTATTCTCTATATTGTCTTGGTTGGGGAGTTACACAAAAGCAAAATAATACTTATTACTTTCATTTTTATTTTACTGTTATTGATTTTCTTTTGCCAGTATTGTTGAAGTAATGGGAACATCTACACCTCAGCCTACTTCATTTAGACTTTAGACATTTCCTCATGTGAACAGTGTTGAAAAGTGATCTGAAGGTTGAGTCCTAGCAATAAGAAGTGGGCCCAGGCCTTGGAGGGAGGACGAAGAAAGAGCTTTCTCTGTCCTGGACCCAGAGCTGCCCTAAGTAGGATTTTAAATAGTCTAAGCTTGGCTTTGGCTGTTACTCCCCTCTTTCTCTGCCTCATCTCTGGCTCTCAGCCTGAGGCTTTCTTACATCTTAGCAACCTGCCAGCCATGTATTAGGTATTCAGTGTATATGTGGACTTAATTTTTTTTTTAATCATTATAATATTTAAGAAGAAACCTACTAATCTACTTAGGTTTCAGGATCCAGTATAATATGGTTTGCCATCTTTCACAGGCATCTTTCTTCAGGTCACTGACAGCTTGAGGCACAGGTTACATTTTACATATAGTTGGTTTCTTTTCTTACTTAATTTTGGCTAAATGAAGAAATCCTAAACCCAGAACTAGAGTTCTTTGAGAATAGCAGCAGATGACTGTCAGATAATTCGACAGAGTACAGACTCTGAAATTACAGGGAAATTTTTCCACTAAAGAATATCTTCAGGGAATTCCCTGGTGGTCCAATGATTAGGACCTCATGCTTTCACTACCAATGCCCAAGTTCAAGCCTTGGTCGGGGAACTAAGATCCCACAAGCCGTATGGCGTGGCCAGAAAAAAAAACAAACAGCATCTTCAACTCTGTCAGTTACTATTCTGATGAGTACATCACATTCAAGAATTAGAAGACTTGAATGTTTCAGTTTAGAGGCTGGTGCCAGATGAATGCCTGATTCATTATTTGGTTGTATTTGGCTCTGAAAGTATTTCTTTATGTTCAATTTTAACATTTGGATGTGGGTTTTTATTTTTACTGTGCTTCACTTTCCCTTTTCACTTTCATGCATTGGAGAAGGAAATGGCAACCCACTCCAGTGTTGTTGCCAGGAGAATCCCAGGGACGGGGGAGCCTGGTGGGCTGCCATCTGTGGGGTCGCATAGAGTCGGACATGACTGAAGTGACGCAGCAGCAGCAGCAGCAATAGTGAATATATCAGTTTCTTTCTCCAGATACTAAAGAAAATAATCCATGAATTGAGAAAGAGTTTTAAAAAAATAAGACAAACTATTTATACTGTATCTTCTTAACTTTTAAAAACTTATTTCAGTCCTAAAGTGATGTGTTTAGGCTGTTTAAATATTGGATAAATAACCTACATATACGCCTTTTGGACAAGCCAAGTATTCAGTACCAGAGAGAAATAGTGTAATCTTACTGTTATTTTGAAAACTAAATACACTTACCCTTTACAGCCATCAGTGAAAGGTTCGTATTTACTTCTGTTTTTTTCTGCAGCCAGCTGAAAAGGTACGTGTTCCGTTGACCATGATAAAATTATTCTAAATTTTTTCAGTGTTTCCTTTACTGGATCAACATCAGAAAACATTTAGCTTATTTTGCGTTTTCTTTTCCTATGAATCAGGCACTATACACACAGACTCTTCTCCCCAGTTGCAAAGATATGGATAGCTTATGTACCTAACAAGAGCTTCCCTTGTAGCTCAGCTGGTAAAGAATCCACTTGCAATGCAGGAGACGCTGCTTTGATTCGTGGGTCAGGAAGATCCCCTGGAGAAGGGATAGGCTACCCACTCCAGTATTCTTGGGCTTCTGTGGTGGCTCAGCTGGTAAAGAATCCGCTTGCAATGCGGGAGACCTGGGTTTGATCCCTGGGTTGAGAAGATCCCCTGGAGAAGGGAACAGCTACCCACTCCAGTATTCTGGCCTGGAGAATTCCATGGACTGTATATCCATGGGGTCACAAAGGTCAGATAGACCGAGCGACTTTCACATGTATCTAACGCCCAGAATCAATAAAATTCGACATTTTATTATATTTGCATCAGGTTTTATTTTAGAAAGCAGTGTTACTAAACTTGAAGCTTGTCTGGTAAACCTTTCCAATCCCGTTCCCTTCTCTTTCAGCATCCCCAGAAGTAACCATTGTCATGACTATTAAAATGTACATAAATGGTGTTATACTCTGTGTCTCATTCTGCATTGTTTCCCATTTATCACTGTGGGGGTGAAATATACCCGTGTAAGAATATACTTTGGCATGATATTTACCATACCAGCTTAATGATGAATATGTTTTCAGGTGATAAATATATATTTTTAACTCCTAGGTGGTATTGTATTCTGTGAATGTATCACATTTTATTTTTCTTTTCCTTATTGATGAACACTTAAGCTTTCAATTTTTACTGTTACTAACAGTGCTGCTATGAATGTCTTTTCACTTTTGCACATGTTTCTTTAGGACAGTTATATCCTCAGAAGTAGAATTGCTGCATTAAAAATAGCTGGGTTTAAATTTTACTAGAACGGCAAAATTGCTCTCCAAAGAGGCTAATTTGTATTCCCACCAGCAGCTGATGAGGGTTCTTTTTTCTGAACATTTTCATCAGCCGTTGTCAGACCTTTTAATTTTTGAGAAATGTTATAACATCTCTCTGGGAACTAGTGGGCTTGATCACACTCTTCTCTTCACCTTTTCTTCCTATGTACTGATCCCAAAATATCTTTTCAAGGAATTATAGCTCACAAATATTCACTAATCTATGTGAAAAAAATCTCTTCTCCTGTAGCATGTACTTCCAATAGTGAACATAACACACAAACAGCATAGTCAAGAGCCTGTTATTCTTTAAATATATACCCATAACAACATATTTTTTTGTTTCAAATATATAGTCTTTATGGCTTTACCACACCTGCAAAGTAAAATATCTGCTATTTGATACTTATGTTAAAATATCTTTTCTAGCTCCTCTCCTCTTTTCCATCTTTCCTTTCTCCCTGTAGGTGAGCTCATCTAACCTCATGCCTTTAAATGCCATTGATTTCCAGATTTTTATCTTCAGGCCTGACTTGCAGGGTATAGCTGGCATCTCCACTCATTCTTAATGGGTATGTCAAAATTAATATGCCCATCCAAGCATCTTGGCTAGCCTCACTTCATCTATATCCCAGACTTCTCCCTATGTTTTCCCCTGAGAATCCAAGACTTCATGTAGTTTCTTCTGCAGATGTTTCCACATGGGTCTGTTCCTTGGTCTTTCAATTCTCGGGCATGTTAATGTGATCATTTCATTTCCACTGTATTTTCTGTTTATTTCTGATAGGAAAAGATTTTAGTCAAATGCTAGATTTCCTGGGCTGATCCTTTATAATTTTTTTTTTTAATCTTTCCTGTTTTCACTTTGGAAATAATAATAGTACCTTTCTCATAGGGTAGTTGTGAGGCTTAATTCAGTGCCTGGCCCTTGGTAACTGCTATACGTGTGGGTTCTAAATATAATTTTTGTTACCATCATCAATTTTGTCTTTGTGTTCTGCCTTCTGACACTTTCTAAATTGTCTCTATTTTTGTTTCTTTTCATGAATTCTTTATTTTAGCCATCTTAATTTTAATTTTTGGAAAAGAGTTCTCTGATCTTTATTTTTAAAATATCATTTTATTCTTATTTCATGAATATAATTTGTTATTTATTATTGATAGTCTTTTTTAATATACATTCTTTTTTATTATGGTTTACCCAGGACATTGAATATTGCTCCCTGTGCTATATGGTAGTAGGACCTTGTTTTCCATCCATTCTGTATGTAATAGTTTGCATCTACTAACCCTAACTCCTAGTTCATTCCCTACCTCTTTAATAGCTTTTAGAATTTTTTTTTATGTTCCTTGCATTGTTTCTCAAAGCGCCTTCTCCCCACCACCCTTTTCTTCCTTATCTCTCTCCTCTTTTTACGAGAGAGGGAGGGAAGAGAATGGAGAGGTTGGATTAAGTTTGAGTTTCATAAGAAGCTTCTGCAGTCTTCTCAGGCAGGTAGCTTAAGCTACGAAGAGAAAAATGATAATTCATGTAATAAATCCATTTCTTTTAGCCACTATTATATGCCAGATATATTTCAGGGCACCAGACATAGTGAACTGTACAGACACAGTCACTGGCCTCTAGTTTTGGAGTAAAAAGCAAAAATAAATTTAATAAAAGAAGCATACGTAATAAAATAATAAACTTAATAAGTAAATGGGTATTTATAAATGTACACTGTAATGAGCACTAGGAGACTATAAAAGGGAAATGCACTCAAGGGTCTCAGTCTCTGATGATATCTGAAGGATGAGTAATTAAGGTGGGGGGGTGCTTATTCCAACCAGAGTGTCAGTCACTTGTGTGAAGACCCTAGGGCCAAAAGAACTATGTATTTGAACCCTGAAGGAAGTAGTTCTGGGAGGTTGGGGTACCTGGGAGCAAGGGGGAAGGATGGCTGGAAAAGATGAGCAGGACGGTGAAGAAGACAGTTGGGACAGCTCTAAGGAGAGCAGGGCTTTTCAGATTCAAATGTGGAGGCCTTGCATATCAGCTGCAGTGGGTAGTGCAGAAGCAGAGCTCTGAGGGAGAACCAGAGAGGCGTCCCGGTAGAGCAGTGGGGGCCTGGAGGCACAGGTGAAGTAGTTCAGACTGTGCTTAGCAAACAGCCCTTGATTCAGTGTGACACGAGTGCTTGACAAGGTAGTGGGAGGTGAGGCTGGAAAGGTAATCTGCAGTCAGAGTTTGGAGAGCTCTGCTGAGGATGGTGACTTCATTTCCTAGACAGGAGAGAGCCTCATGGAGTACTGTGAGCACAGCTGCAGGTGCAGCCAGGCAGGAGGCAGGGGGACC